ATTGCGGGTAAGAAAAATGTACTATTTTTAGAAATTGTACAGGGTTACTCACTATAATCTGACAATTTATTGTGAGTTTATTATTGAAATTACAAAACAGTTTTTAATACAAAAGATTTAGCTTTTTTATGAATTCTTATAATACAATATTTGAAAAAACAATTGAATAATGGAAATCACTAAATGAAATAATTTTTTTTAATGGAATACCCTATAAATTAGTGCATATTTAATTAATTACATTTTTATCTTTTTAAAAATATATAATATGTTACTGTTTGATTCAGGACTTTTCGACACATTTCAGTTTAAACCATTGAAAAAAATAGGAGGGAAATTTGTGTGACGGATCACAGTGGCTATGGACGAGGCACGTGGAACAAACAAATGACTTTGACAATTTTAAACACTAAGAAGTTTTAAAAAAAGAAAAAGATTATTAGACAAAAGTTGTTGTTTTGGATAAATTAAATACGTGATTCAAATTTTGGCACTTATCTCTGAAATATCGTGTACAACCATAATTTGTTTACGTTGCATTTGAGAGGGAATATAAATTCGTTTTCAGAATTTATCTTTCTAGAAAAACGCATTTTTCAAAATCGATCACACTGTACTTTGATATTAGTTAACATTAACAAAGGTTATGTTCCGATCTTTGTAACGTTGAAAATTGCTCTCGAAATTATATTGTTGCACAATAATAAAACAGCATTGTGAATGTAATTATTTCAATAGTTTCTATCTGTCACACGACTGATTGTAAGTACGTTGTATTTCTAGTTCTTCTAGAAGTCGTTCCTTTGTCTTTTTACAAGCAGGAATACATTTCTGCATTTCGCTTGATTGGATTTTAAGTATCTTAACCTAGATCTTCTGTTGCAACTGTTGTCGTTTGGCGACACAAATAGTAATAAATAAAACAGTTATTGCGTTCTTGCACGTTGAAGTCACTACCTTGAATATGTATGTATATGATTGGAAAAATATAGCGGCGTATTCTAACCAGTCCTTGCTAATTGCGTGTAATGATCAATTAATTATTTTTTTTGCTATTGTGAACTTGCAATGAGTACGAACACCGGCAACTTAAAAAACTATCTGCATATATTATAAATACATATATAACTGCAAATGACATAATAGTGAATGAATAAGCATAGATATAGATGAAAAGAGTGGCGACTTCATTACCTATTCATAGGCGATACTAGTAGCCACCCCATATTTCGAGAAAGTTGCTTGTTCAGAGCTTAAATGACTACAAAACTGTTCAACTGAAAGAGAAAAACATCTTTTGAGATTTTTCGAAACGGCACAAATTATTGTTAGAATCAGGCGACTCGGTGTATCCTTCAAGATATTTTTTTGACATGATTGATGCCTTTCTTGGAAAAGGTCATCGTCATCATTATTAAGAACGACCAGCAGGCAACAAATTTCTGGAGAACAGATGCCATTGTGTTTATCATTGTGAATGTTATCGTATGAAAGGCCTAAAGGAAGGTCTCTCTGTTATTGCATACATTTAACAACCTTCTTGTAACCGTTCTTCTTATCTTATTTATTAATTATTATTGTTTTTATTGTTTATTGATGATAAATTATCACGTTACAAGGGAATGTGTCACGTCTATTAATAAATACATGAAATGCATTCATCGATCTAGGAGTGTTAATCAGATTTTAGTCGATTTACGGCCTAGAATATAGCCTATATGCAGCTCAAACACAATTTTGAGTAATTGGCATAAAATGGAGAAAAATCGCAGAAATTCACTAGTATACAACGTTTTTTATATCCTTTACGAAATAATAGCAATAACTGTTATTAAAGTATTCCATATCGTTATTAGAACATCTAGTACTGGTTATAAGTTTTATAATAATAAATGTATTAAACTGTTGTATACTCTGTATGAGTTAAAAACATATGTCATTGTTTTCAGAAATTTTATTGGATAACTGTAATTACAAGCTAAGGTTCTAATGTAAACATACATAAAACATACTTTTAAGCATTAAAAATGAAGACAAATCGCTCCCAAAACTGTCCAGTTTATTTTCTTAGCAACGATGCACCCGTATTTTCTTGTATTACATGAGAATTTGCACTATAACTCTTCCACCTTAA